CCCCAAAAATACATCTTGCTTATACTTGTAACACCCTCGATTTTTGATATGAACTAAGTCAATTGAGAATGATTTATGAAATATATTGTACCTTGAGGATTTGATGATACTTTAAATATGTTGAGTATATGGAAAAGATACCTACTGATACTTAGACAAAATCTTATGAACATAATTGATGGATCGTAAAGTTTGATACTTTGATCATATATTTAAGTACATGTATGAAGGATCTCATGTAAAATGAATGACTTAAGGTGTTTTGATGGAAAGAAAATGAATTGTAGGATTTAGGAATGAGTTTGGGGACTTAAGAAAGTGAAAATGAAAAAACTGGGCATGATCTATTGATAGATGTTCTATATCTATCAAAAAATGCATGATAGAAGGTTTTAGAAAGACAAGTTGGACGAACATCTATTGATAGATCTTTTTAACTATCGATAAATAACCACTCGAGAACCTTGCAAAGTAAAGAGACCCAAAAACTATCGATAGATCCGTGGAATCTATTGATAGATAGCCATACAAAATTAATTGAAACCAAAGTAAAAATCATTTACCGATAGATGGGCAAACGAGGAAAAATAGAAAGAAGGCTCAAGCACAATCTATTGATAGATTCGAGGAATTTATTGATTGAAGAAGGTCAGTGCCCAAAATTTTTAAAGGGATCTATCAATGGATCACCTTGTAAAAGTAAAAATAAAAAGGGATTTCGGGCCATTTGAGTCATTTTAACAAAAACCAAACTTTATCTCTCTAAAGCCCACGAAACCTTAACCTCCCAATCTAATCTTTGGAGCAATTTAGAGCTAATCGAAGCATGGGAAAACGTTATTAAGGGAAGATTATGCCTTTTAATGGATTGATTTTTAATTTAGTCGATAAATAACTTAAATTCGGTTTGGTCCGACTTTGGTGAGATTTTTCTCCCTTGAGTTTACTAAGGATTTGAAGCTAAGATTTGAGCAACCCAATATCCAAGGTTAAGATTTAACTCATTTGTTGAAGGATTGAGCTTATCTATTGAATTTTGTTATTTTTGAAAAGTTAGATATTTTCAAAAGCTAGGAAATAAATATTTTTGTAATATTTTGATGTGTTTAAGGATAAGTTAGAGATAATCAACTCATTTGTAAGCTGAAAAACGGTTGAAGGTTGAGAATTGGAGCTTGGTTGTGGGGCACCTTCAATTATTACTATGAGGGGGTTAATTTAAAATGCATGTGATGCATAATGCCTTGATAAATGCACTACCATGGTACTAGAATAGAAATTATGTGCATATAATTGCCTAAATGAATGAGCCTAGGCTAGAGAACAAAAATGTATGCGATTATATGATGTATTGTGTGCCTTAGTGCAAGCCACTTAGTAACTGATGTTGTGTGAACCTAGACTCGAAAGTCTAAAGAATATAATGAACATGTAAGAGTAGATTACCCTATACAAGTAACCTTTGATGAATTATGAAAATTTGATGCCTTAGAGAATTAAAGGCACCTTGATGGGACATTGAGCTAGAAATTTCTGAAGCTTATTAAGAGTGATCTCTAATGTAAATTGTGGTCTATGTGATACCAAGGCATGAAAGCCTAAATATGACATTTTACATTTCATCTGATGGATAAATTTCGAATGTTGATTTGATTTGAGGATTAAGTGGAGTCTAACACCATGTGACTATGTGTGCCTGCAAGGATGGTGATATTAGTCCCGTCTATGATTTTCACTTATAGTGCTTTAATGCCACCCATTTGAGAA